TACTGCAAGTAAGCATTAACTGTCTGCATTGTATTCAGTGTAGTATTCCTTTCTCTATATTTGGACTTTGCTAAGGAATGTTAAATGTGACCTCAATAAACAGAGCTCCAGAACACGTGGAGATATTAAATGTTATATATAATTGTAATCAGAAATGCATGTGCATATGGAATAAGAAAAATATCTGGCTAATAGAAGGCTGGAAATGTAAGATTTTTGAATGTTATGTCCTGTATGCTAGCTGTTCTGTCATTAACGTAGCTATGTATCAATGTTTTGCAAATGTTGCCTTTAGATTGGTGTTGAGAAAAAGGCTGAAGCCGTAGCCACAGTTGTTCATGCAGTTGACCAAGCACGCGTTAGAGAACCAAGAGAGCCAGGTTATGCCGAAGAAGCTTATTCTGAGCAGGCATTTTTGGAGTATGGATATAAAGAACATGCTTTAGCAAGACATGTTGTTGAGGCACCACCAGAACCACATATTGTCACCAAAGAGGTGAAAACTGAGGAGGTTCGAGTTCCTCCTGAAATACATGTTGTAGCTGCTGAAAAAATGGAAATGGACATACCAACACAGGTTAGGCTCAAATTTAACCATGCAGCCATTTCCAATGGCTGCCAAGCTTCTTTCTTTCTTTTCTTCTTTTCCTGTTTGGCAAGTGGCACCACCTTCTCAATGCCCATTTTATTGGTTAATTTAGATTAAAAGGACTGCAGAAACTTCGCTCGACAAACCAATCCATGTGGAACACATACGTCCCCGTACAGCAAGCCCTCATTTTACAGTTTCAAAAATTACTGTTCCTAAACCAGAACATACTTATGAGGTAAGAAGAGAAGGAAGGGTATGTCAGGCAAATAGAAATGTCAGCAGGAAGAGTTAACTCAGTTTCTTTCTCTACATAAGCCAGAAGAGAATGAGGCCAAGTGAAACAGGGAGGAGAAAAGTTCTAATACTGAAACATTATTGGGGGGGGGGGCTAATGCTATTATTTATTATAGAAGGAATTTAATGGTGCTGTTCACCAAGAGAATGGCATCCATTGGTAGAACAATTCCCCCTGGCAGACCCTTCAAATCTGAAGATGTCCTTCCACAGCAGAGTTCGGGGACTGCAGGAGAAGGAAAATGAGATTCCACTATCCTAGTGGACAAATGTATCTATATTGTTTTATGCAATAAAACAAATAATCTTACATGCTCTAATTATATGGACCAAGATGTTTCAAAATATCTTGTCTGGAAAAGCAAGGAAAAAGGTGGAAGAAGGGAAACAATACTAACTAAAATGCCTGGCATACTCCTTTTCTCTCTGGAAGGGTAGAAAATTATTTGCAAATGCTCATTTCCTGAATTAATCAAATAATTCATAGAATGATAGTGTTTGCTCTGTCTTTCAGTTAGTTATGTGGCATGCTAAATCTGTATAGGAATTAACATACTGTACACCTTTAATCACAATTACGTTGTATGCATTCATCAAGTCTACATGATTTTGCTTTACCTCACTTTTCCCCCCCTCATTTTTCCATTTGACATTGTAATTGCCTCCTTTACAGGTCTCATCATCTAACGATCCCATCTAATTCATTTTTCCAATACAGATTTGTGTTACTTCTTCATCATTATATAGAGGATGACTTTAAAAAAATCAAATACATGTAAAATAATGTTATGGCAATTGACTTAATGTTATCCCAAATAGTCTTTCTTTTTTTCTTTCTCAAAGAAGACAAACTATACAAAGAGACAAGTATATCCTGTCTGTTATACCTGATATAATATTTAATTGCTAATTAATTGTCTTCTTGCAAACAATATTTATCATTATGTCTACTGGACAAATCTAGAGTTGTATGATCTGTATGAGATCAGCTATGACTTAATTAGCAAATTATGAATTCTGATTGACAATATGAGTGAAGTCTTCTTACATTTGAATGTAAATAATATTGAAAGATTAAAATATGATTTCTTATTCCAAAATTCAAATTAAAGTCATACTTCTTAAATGCTCCTTGTCAAAACATATAATTGATGAAAGAAAAGTAATATGTAGTTTCTAACCTTCTGAAAGGTTAGAACCAAACAGCTGCAAGAAAGAAGCTGTATTTTCCCATAACATTTACATGTTACATGTATTTATGTATACATATAGCTATATATGTGTTTAGTAGCAGTGGTAACTCTTTTTTATCTTGGGTTGATTAGGTTTCAATAGCAGGAACTGCTATGGCTACTCTGCAAAAAGAGTTATCAGCCACTTCTGTTCCAAAGATAACCAAACCTGTGAAGCGTCCTGTTGCAAAGTCTCCTGAACCCAGAGTGATGCCAGAGAAAGTCATCTCTCCACAGTTCCCTTTCGTAGAGACTCCTGCCGACACCTATCAGAGGCTTTATGGTGCTGAAATAAAAAGAGAAATAGGTGTGAGTGTGCAGGAACGTGAACACGTTGAATTAATGCCAGAAGCTGAACCCAAGGTTGGTCATGAAGCACCTTCTTCAATCTTTGCATGCAGAATAATGCGTGCTTACATTTTCCCTTTATTACCAGCCTTCCCCATTTTTAAAGGTTTCCCTCTCTCCCTACTGACCTTTGTACACCATCTGTAGTGACATTGCTTTCTATCTCTGAAGACCATTTCCTCATAGCAAGCAATGGAAAAGACCCAAAAGAGATGGACACTGACTTATTTCTATTCTCACGCATGCTGCTGCTGAACAAAATGTTGTGTGGCACCAATTAACTTTGCCTGGAATCTCCCTAGGTGATTGAAGTTGCTAGAGTTCCGGAACCTACAGAAGTTCCCGCGACACCCCCATCTATAGTCACAGTAAGTAATCGATGTTCTGCTAATAGGTCGGCTAATTTACTCCTTCTCTGCTGTAAGCTTTTGATTAACCCGTTTCATTATGAAAATATGGTGCAGCTCTAGTGCCATCTAGTGTACAGAAACTGAAAGTAGAGACGATAGTAAAATCAATTCTATATGCTTTGCAGTCTGAAATACCTGCATGCAGGAATTTCCCCGTTAAGTTCAGTGGAGAGAACAGATGCATAGATGAAGGTATGCATGAATCTATTCCATGGGTGAAAATGAATAGTGGAGACTGTGCATACCATAATTCAAGCAAGTGACCAGTAGGACCAAAATCAACCTGACTTTTTGCATTAAATAGAAAATCAGATTAGATTCATTTTTTGTTGTTGTTACTTTATAATAAGATTCAGTGGCTCTCATGTTTTAAATTGTAGGTCAGCATGAATTTATCAAGACTGATTATAGAACGTTTTGAGCATTTGCCATTACTATGCTGATTTTGCAATATCTGTAGGGAGAGACTTCTGCAGCGTTAATTGAATGAGGATCTACCACTCTCAAAGTGCCTTTAATCTTGGGTAACAATTTAAAAGAAGGCAATAACAATAAACCAAAAGAAGATACAAGCCTACAATTACGTGAACAGTGCCATGATCTATAAATAAATCTTATATAAGAGACTCATATATTATTGATATACTGTATTGTAAAGTATATCATGTCCACCTTAGATGAGTAATTCCAGCAGTACTCACAAAATATTGCCTTTGGAGTGGCCAATACCAGAGCAGACTGAAATCCTGGCAGACCTTTGTTTATAGAATTTCTTGACTGTACAATAGTTGAACAAAATGAAATTTAAACTCATGAAATGCACAGCTATAATAAAAACTATATCAAATCTAAAACAAAGTAAAACAGCATGGAATTAAGTGAAATCACCAGCAAAAGACAAGAGCATGCAAGGATCCAAAAGGTCACCAATGCATTTTTAAATCTAAAAGACTGAGGAGGAGCATTGTTTGAGTTCTGGGCATGGCTTCAGTTTGAATTTGTCATGGTTACTAATGTATTAGGTTACTAGGTAGACTTCTAGCTATCACTGTTGTAAAGCATCACTGCCTGTAGTGCAGTCCAGACAGATGTATTCAAAGGTGAAATGACTTCTGTTGAATTCCTGCATAGGGTGCAAGAATTGGTTCAAAGTTTCCTGTGTTTTTAAAATGTTTATTATGAGTAAAGAGATTATATGAATATTCTGGGCATGCATCCACTCCTCCCTCCCTCTCTCTCTCTCTCTCTCTCTCTCTCTCACACACACACACACACACACACTTAATTTTTGCATTTCATTTCCCTCTGTCTTCATAGCTGGGATGTTAGTCTTGTATTCCTACCCCAAGATGCACCTTTTCGCATGTATTCCTACTTCTGTGAAATGAAGAGGACCAACCCAAACTTACAATAAACTTGTTTAAGGTGCTACAAGGTTCTTTCTTACTCGTGCTATCTAGATGCTGAAAAATGTGACCGTCATGGAGGGAGAGTCCGTCACCCTGGAGTGCCGCATCTCTGCATATCCTGCCCCAACTGTTGCTTGGTACAGAGAGGACTACCACATTGAAAGTTCCATTGATTTCCAAATTACCTTTGAGGCAGGAATTGCTCGCCTTGTGATTCGAGAAGCTTTTGCAGAAGACAGTGGGAAATTTACTTGCACAGCTACCAACGAGGCAGGAAGCGTTAGCACTTCATGCTACCTCCTTGTACAAGGCATGTATGGAAAGAAATGGAGGGGAGACTTTCTGGGTGGGCTGTCTGTTAAGTATACTATTATATAATATCAAAGAAACTTACGTAAGTGGCTGAGGGGGTAGAAACAAACAGGATATTTTTCCTGCTGAAGTTACTAGGTTCACTGAGCCTTTCAAGGCTCTAAATAAAGGGGTCACAAGAGCCCACTCTTCTGTGTCCTAACACACATGTAATATTTTTTTTTCATGCCTTATAAAAATTATCCATTATCAATTTCTTTATCAAATGATTTTGTTATCAAAAATTATCAGTTTATCAATCCCAAAGCATTTTGGGGTGGTAGTTCAGAGTCTTGGACCAGAGGCTTTAAATCTCCCTCAACCATGAAACTCAGGATGATTTTATCACTTTAAGAAAGAGTATTTTTCACCTGAAGTTCTATACATGATGGCAGCTTTTATACCCACAGAGAAAAAAAAATAGACATTTTGCTCATATTTTATTCCCCTCAAATGTATATTCCTGTGCTTTACTGAAATGTACAGCTCGTCCAATAACTGTGGTCTAAATCTTTCTTAGTATTTCAAATGGGTCATACTCAAGGGAACATCTCTTTCATTACTGTACTGAGCAATTGCACCATGTGGCAAGGACAAACTCATTCATCCTATAAATCCAATCCATAGAGAAATTATCACATCAGGCAAAAGCAGCAGCTGATTTTTTAAAAACTGATTTCACTAAACTATTTTAAAGAAGTAGTGATTTGGGGCAATCATCATCCATTACTTTGACTGAGTTCAATACAAAAATAGTTATTCAGCTGAAAAAGTCAATCTTTGGAACATGAAATGGCAGGATAACCAATGCCATATTTGTTTTATATGGAAATTCCTCACAAGATGGTTGCAAGAGTTGCAATGCGGTAAAAAATGTAGCTTCAACTGGTGAGGGAAAATACGTTACGCATTATAGGATCAATGATTAATGCTTTCCTTTTTCAGATTATATTAAACACAATAGGTTGCGCAAGAGAAGGAAGGCTTTTATTTTGTACAAAATGCAATTTCCTATTGAATCAAAATTAGGAAAGCGGCATGTTCTAACTATAAATACTTAACAATCCAGGATGATTTGATTGATCTAGATAAAACATTTTCATTCTTGGTCCTTCTCAGAAACTGATCTTTTCAAAATTAGTCCTAGGAGGAGAAGGTTCCAAAGTTAATCACAGCAATGTGATTAACCAAATTGTGCAATTGAATCCTTTAATTTGTTGCCATTCTCAGTGGCATCTTGTGGGGTATCTCTGCTAGTGACCCATTTTGGAAAGTATCTTGATGGCAGTTTTGTTGCTCTTTTGTTTTGAAATAGTCTCAGAGGAGTTTGAAACCAAAGAAGCTGTTTCTGTAAAAGAAGTCACAGAAGAAAAACGGTAATTTTTAAAATAATTGTGGGGATTTAGTTTTAAATTGATTGCCATTGTAACTGCATTCAGTTTCACTCTTGACTTTTCACCTTTCTTATAATACATCTAGCTATGTGGAGTCAAAAGATGTAATAATGGCAGAAATTGCTGCGGCAGAAGAGGTACCTGGAGAAGCTGCAGCTCCGTTCTTTATAAGGAAACCTATTGTACAGAAGTTAATTGAAGGCGGAAGCATCATTTTTGAATGCCAAGTTGGGGGCAACCCAAAGCCACATGTTTACTGGAAGAAAGCTGGGCTTCCTGTCACTACAGGCTACAGGTACAATAAGCATTTTATAGTGAAATGCTATGTCTACATGGTATGAGAACTGCATGTATAAAACAACTGAATTACTATATAATGCTGCTCCAGTGGTATAGTACCTAATTACTTGCTTACCAGCAGATTGTACTTGAAACTGGAAGATAAAATTCATTCAGAGATTGCATAATTATGTAACTTCAGTGTCTCAGGCCCAAAGTGCACTGGCCATATTATTTCCAAGAGAAAGATTGCATGTCTTCTATATCAGAATGTATGGTGTTTAGAAAAATAGTTCTAGGATGGAGGTAATGTGTAAACCTTGAAAGTGCTGTTGGGCCCAAGACATCCGACTGGCTAAAGGAGAACATCAAATGACATCTCCTCCTCATGTGAAGGCCAAAACTTTGGTGAGCCTGGCTGAACCATTCAGAGACATGATCTTCCCTTCACTTGTGACCCATTCTTCTGTCTCTTGAAGCAGGGGCTTCCTCTTGAGACCGAATGGGGCCATACTGAGTCCTGCCCCTCTCCAAACTCTTGACCTGGCTCTCAGTAGAGATGATAGATCTGAAATTTTTGCCTTTATAATTCTTCCTTCTCAGAAGGTTTGTTTCTTTGCTTTCCTAAAGATACAAAATAATTTATAAAAAAGAAACTGGGGAATGCAGACTTGAAATTTCTATGACTTTTGCCGATGATGCCGGAGAATATACTATTGTTGCTCGTAACAAACACGGGGAAGTTTCTGCATCAGCTTCCTTACTAGAAGAAGGTAAGTGAAAATGAACTGGTCAACTGATAAGAACTGGTGGAAATGGATTTTAAAGAATAATGAGGGAAAAGAGCTTTGGCAAATACTGCCCTTGTTTAAAAGGTGATATTATGAACATTCTGTTTTACCATATGGGCAAACTTGGAAGAAAAGACCCTAAGTTTCATAAATATGGTCCAGGAGTAACAAACAGAATCACTGTTGTGAGATTGATGGCCATATAAATCCTATAAATAAACAAACAAACAAACAAACAAACAACAGATTTTATAAGTTATAGTGGAATCTGTCAAAGGCATATTCTGTGCAACCAGAGACATCCACAGCTAGCCACAGTGATGTCAGTGATGAAATGTGAGATGGAACATCACTGTGCCACTACATACTTACATGACTACCAAAGTACTTGTGATTTGCTTATAACTCAAGGTGTCATCTGAATACTTCTGGCCAAAATTAACCATAGAAAGACAAGGCTGTGCTTTCTGTGCAGCTGGAAGTAATGTCTGCGTTTTGTTCAAAAAACATATCAAACTGTAAAAAAACTGGTTTGTGGGGGGGTCAATAGCTGTGCTGTTCACAGGGAGGAGCCAGTGAGTATGTTCATGCTAGCTTAGCTTTGTGGATTATCCTATTATGTGAATGCAGCTAATGAAGGATAGGATATGTATAGCAAGAGAGAGAGAGAGAGAGAGAGAGAGAAAGAGAGAGAGAGAGAGTGATATAATCTTTGATGCTGACCATACCTAATGACTGTTTATCTTATTTTTTTTTAGTAAAAGAGCACAGTGCTGTCATGCTTGGTCAGCTCATATTATTTCCAACACGCACTTCTAGTAGCCAGATACAGTCCAAGAGATTTCATACTTCACACATGAGTCTCCATAAATTACTTGGAACCAGTGATTTATAATATTCATTAAAACCTCTAATGATTACTTCGTTATAGAGGGAGGATTAGTCATGGAATTAGTCTCTCCAACTGGTAACACAGAAGTGTTCTCTTTAGAATACAATGCTGTTAAACTGGAACTATTGCTCATGTCAGTGGTTAAGGAATAACAGTAAGTTCCTTGCTAGAATTATTTTATTTTTAATTATTTTAACTATTGTTTCTTTTTTTTCCTTTAGCTGATTATGAGGTCTACCTAAAATCTCAAGAAGAAATCATGTATCAAACTGAAGTAACTGCATATGTTCAAGAACCCAGAGTAGCTGCGGTTGCCCCACCAACTTTATATGCTGACTATGAAAAGGAATATGAAAAAGAACAAGCTCTGATTAGGAAGAAAATGGCAAAAGATACTGTATTAATCAGGACATTTGCTGATGAACAAGTAAGTGTGTGGCTTGTGTGGGTTCATGAGTTTTGATCCATGACATCATACAAGACATATCTTGTGACATTATTATTATCACCACAGCAAACCAAGTTTAGTTTTAACTGCAGTTTCTGGTATGCAAGCACTGAGGCAAGATTTATTTATAGACAGAGAAGCCAAATTTCTTTTTTCTATACTCCCACCTCCCTCTAGCGTGGCTTGAGGCTTAATAAGCATTTTAATGTTACTTTCCTACAGCGTATGTATGCAACCTACAAAGTTCAGTAAATGCTTATGTATTTCTAGGTCTAAATTCCCTTATATTTTCTACTTAGAGTTAAGTAAGGAGCTAATCATACTGGCTGGCATTTTCTGTCAAGCTGGACTTGGTTCTCTCTCTCTCTCTCCCTAGGTGGTAAAATTTGTTCTTTCTATCTCTCCTGTCCATCTTCCTCCCACAGAGCCCATCTTCACTGAATAGATTTCTCCCAAAATGGCCCCACCTCTTCTTCAGTGCTGTTCTCCAGATCATACCCTGGTCCATTTCAGATGTCTTAGCCCAGTCATCTCAGAAAACAATAAACTCTTATAACTGACATTATCTAGAATCCATTTTGGTTTGCCAGCCATTACATCTCTTCCTCGTCTCCTTTTTTCCCCATGTATTTCTGTTTTAAGTCTCCACCTGTCTCCTCCTTCTTGCCTCCTTAGCGGTACCCCCCTGTTCCTATGAGAAAGCTATTTTCTGTGGAAAATATTATTATCTGTCCGACTCCCAGGTTCTGCTGTGAGTTATAAAGAACAATATAAATAATTTATCAACATGACAGGATGCTAGAGAACCATGGGTGCTCATGCAAGACTGCGGGTTGTCACAAAATATTTTTTCTTTTCAAAATTAGACAAGACAGCGCCCTTTTATTTTCCCCTTTCTTTTCTTCACATTTTTTCTTAATATTGGAATCTTTTTCTACAGGAGTTCCATATTTCTTCCTTTGAAGAAAGACTTATGAAAGAAATTGAATACCGGATTATTAAGATCACACTTGAAGAACTTCTTGAAGAAGATGGAGAAGAGATGGTAGTTGACATTCCTGAATCTGAAACCATTGAAGCAGGATTTGAATTAAGATTAAAAAATTACAGAATCCTTGAGGGAAGTGGTGTGACTTTCCATTGTAAAATGACTGGATATCCTTTGCCAAAGGTATGAATGTATTTGCCTTTCAGAAGAAAAAGCAATAGGTTACCTGTACTCTTCCCAGCTTCATCTTCTTATGGAATTGCATTGGCCCCTTTTTCATCTTGTTGGTTTTAATATTGGTTTAAAAAATGGTTATTTATATTTATTACAAGTGCTACAATCAAATGAATCTAAGCAGCTTAAAGTAATACATCTGAAGGCTGCCTCCAAAGTGATTATTTTGATTACTGTTTATAATAGCGAGAGGAACAGTGCTCAGATTTGGAGCTGTTGGAACTTTCTCTTTCATATTTTTATTCAGAGATTTTATTTTGTGTGTGTTTTTATATATTACAAATAAGCATAGAAAAAAGCACATCAGCAAAGCAGTCCCAACAAATAATCATCAATTCATTATGGAACTGAAGGTCCTTCTCAGAACTGTCACCTCTCATATGGTTTTGTAACTTCTTCAATGCAGATTGTATGGTACAAGGATGGCAAGCGTATCAGGCATGGAGAGCACTACCACATGGAAGTCCTAGAAGATGGCAGAGCCAGTCTACGTTTACCTGTTGTCTTACCTGAAGATGAAGGCATTTATACTGTCTTTGCCAGTAATGTCAAAGGAAACGCCATTTGCTCTGCAAAATTATATGTTGAGCCTGTTGGACCAACTGGGTCTCCAGGTTATATCCCATCACCTGAAATGATTAGAAGATATCGGTAAGAATAAGGAACAGTTTTGTGTTAGCTATTACTTGAGTATGTTGGAAAGCCAATACACTTTTAGATTATAGCCTAAGACAACTGCTTGCAGTTGCATCTAGACAGTATTTTAGGAATAGGGAATTTATTTTTCTGTGGATATATTTTGAACGTTAGGATGGAAGAAACTTTTCATTGCTGAAATTTTGCAGAGTGCAATTGTTTTCTTTCATAATCATGGAACCAGGGTCTTTATTTTTAATCACTTTTTGAAAATAACTAGGGAGAGAACACACTGGATTTCTATAGGGAGGGAGTACCATACATTTATGCCATTACTGAGAAGACCTTCACCCTGGCTATTTCTATGCAGGCCTCCTTTCAGAATGGCATTCACATTTTTTCCCCCAAGTAATTGTTTTATTTCATTATGAGATGCAAAAAGTTCATTATAAATTACAGGTATTAGCTCGGTGCAGTGGTATTTATACGCGCAATAAACCTTTTGATGATCAAAAATTCTTGATTTGTAGCATATTGGGGAAGGCATTCATTCAAGCATGATAACCAACATGTCCTCCTTCAAAATGGCCAAGTTCATAATCTCATAAAATCTTGCACAAAAATAAGCAATTCTTGAAAGATTTTATGATCACACAATATTTCAATATTTTCTTTTCTTTTATATTACATTTGAGGGACTACCTTATGTGGCATGGGGTCTGGTGGGTGTTTTGGTTCTATAACCATGACATTAGCAACCTCTGATCAAGATTGTCCTGGATCTTTTCCATATTCTTCAGCATTTCCCTTCTCTGTATGTGTATTTCCTTGAGTAGCCATTCATTTAATCCCACTCCACAGATAATATCTGCTCTCTAACCCTTGTTTATTTAGACAAATGAATGGTACTTATTTAGACAAAAACAGAAGCAAAATGCAGAGGTTAGCACAGTGAATTTTTTTTGCGTGATTCTATGCATTTTCAGTGATAGTGGTAGCTATGTTTTAATTGTATTGACATCATATGCTGCATAGGGACATTTACTGCATACATAAATATTTATTGAGTGGTAGAAAGCCCCAACCTCACAGCATCAACTCTGTGTGTGCATGCAGGTATATATGTTAATTTATACCATCTTTAGAATAATAAAGCCTACTCTAGTGACTACAGAGTCATTGTATTATACATGTAATTGTATATGTTAACACATTACTTTTTCAGATCTCTTTCACCTCGATCCCCAAGCCGTTCCCCTGCACGTAGTTCGCCTTCACGCTCTCCTGCACGCAGGCTGGATGAGACAGATGAATCACAGCTGGAAAGATTGTACAAACCAGTATTCGTGTTGAAGCCAACTTCATTTAAATGTGCAGAGGGACAGACGGCAAGATTTGACCTCAAAGTTGTGGGTCGACCAATGCCAGAGACATACTGGTTTCACAATGGTATGAAAGTTTTCTACTTATCATGTTGTCTTCTATAAAACCCAAGATTCACATGAAGGAAGTTAATGCTCAGCCTGAAACAATATCTATATTTGTGTCCACAGGTCAGCAAGTTCTTAATGATTATACCCACAAAATAGTGATTAAGGAAGATGGCACACAGTCACTGATTATTGTTCCAGCAATGCCTTCTGATTCCGGGGAATGGGTTGTAATTGCTCAAAACAGAGCAGGAAAAGCATCCATTTCAATGACCTTGACAGTGGAAGGTATTTAGTTTATTAGTCTAGGGAATGGCTGGATGTCTCTGGTTATAATCTTGTACTTGACCGTATTCCTTTGGTAACTTGTTTCCTTGTCTTTTACAGCTAAGGAACATTTGGTAAGACCGTTGTTTGTAGAAAAACTGAAGAATGTGAGTGTCAAGGAAGGAGATAAACTGGAAATGAATGTGAAAGCCCGGGGTAATCCTAATCCTGACATTGTGTGGCTAAAGAACAGTGACATCATTGTGCCCCATAAATACCCAAATATAAAGTAAGCCTTATTTGTTTGTTTGTTTGTTTGTTTATTTAGGTAAAAAATAGAATGAATAAAGGTGTTCCATTTCTAATGCAGTCAAACAAATAGCTGTGTGCTCACATCGTGCATACTCCCAACCAGTGCAGAAAATTAGCAGTAAGAAAATTAAGGGGTGCTCAGAATATTTTTCAAGAAGACTAACAATAACCTATGGCTGTTTCTTGACCAGATGATTCATTCAGAGTTCAGTGAGGTTTTGAACGGCTTTCCCAACCTGACATTATCTAGATATGCTGGAACTACACCTCTCTTTATCCCCAGCAAGCACAATCATTGCTCTCAAATTCTGGGAATTGTACTCCCCAAATGCTAGAAGATACCAGGTTGGGAAAGGCTGCTGGAAACACCATTTATGAACGGTTTAATGGGTTGGAGAAGCTGTATTAAACTCGTGTACTTACTCTCCCCATTCTGATTTTCAGAATTGAGGGAACCAAAGGTGAGGCTGCCTTGATGATTGAGTCCACCATCAAACATGATGCTGCATGGTATACTGCTACAGCCATTAATAAAGCTGGACGTGACACTACACGATGTAAAGTGAATGTTGAAGTTGAGTTTGCTGAACCTGAACCAGAAAGAAGACTCATCATTCCCAGGGGGACATACAGAGCCAAAGAAATTGCAGCCCCAGAATTGGAACCTCTCCATTTGCGTTATGGTCAAGAACAGTGGGAGGAAGGTGACCTTTATGACAAAGAAAAACAACAGAAGCCATTTTTCAAGAAAAAACTCACTTCCTTAAGGCTCAAACGTTTTGGGCCAGCCCATTTTGACTGTAGACTCACACCTATTGGTGATCCAACCATGAGAGTAGAGTGGCTACATGACGGCAAGCCTTTGGAGGCAGCAAACAGACTTCGGATGATTAATGAATTTGGATACTGCAGTCTTGACTATGATGTTTCCTATCCCAGAGACAGTGGTGTGATTACATGCAGAGCTACAAACAAATATGGTACAGACCATACATCAGCAACACTCATTGTTAAAGATGAGAAAAGCCTTGTTGAAGAATCTCAGTTGCCAGAAGGCAGGAAGGGACTTCAGCGCATTGAAGAGTTAGAAAGAATGGCACATGAAGGTGCCATTACTGGTATTGTAGAAGATCAAAAAGTGAAACAAAAGCCAGAAATAGTTTTGTTTCCTGAACCTGCAAGAGTCGTTGAAGGTGAAATTGCACGATTCCGCTGCCGGGTAACTGGTTACCCGCAACCGAAAGTCAATTGGTATCTCAATGGACAGCTTGTTCGTAAAAGTAAAAGGTTTAGACTTCGTTATGATGGAATCTACTACCTGGACATTGTGGACTGCAAAACATATGATACAGGCGAAGTAAAAATATCTGCAGAAAACCCTGAAGGATCAGTTGAACATTCAGTGAGAATTGAGATTCAACAAAGGGAAGATTTCAGATCAGTACTTCGCCGGGCACCTGAGCCTAAGCATGAAGCTCCAACAACAGAGCCTGGAAAACTTTTGTTTGAAGTCCAAAAGGTTGACAAACCAGTTGAGGCAACTACCAAAGAGGTGGTGAAGCTCAAAAGGGCAGAAAAAGTCAGCCATGAGAAAGTACCTGAAGAATCTGAAGAACTCCGCAGTAAATTCAAACGAAGAACTGAGGAGGGCTACTATGAAGCTATCACTGCTGTGGAGCTTAAATCTCGTAAGAAGGATGAATCATATGAAGAGTTGCTTAAGAAGACAAAGGAAGAACTTCTTCATTGGACCAAGGAGTTAACAGAAGAAGAAAAGAAAGCCCTAGAGGCTGAAGGCAAAATCACTATTCCAACTATCAAGCCAGAGAAGATTCAACTTAGTCCAAGCATGGAGGCTCCCAAGATATTTGAGCGTATACAAAGCCAGACAATTAGTGAAGGAACTGATGCCCACTTCCGTGTTCGAGTAGTAGGCAGACCAGACCCAGAATGCCAGTGGTTCAAAAACGGTGTGCAGATTGAAAGAACAGATCGCATCTATTGGTACTGGCCAGAAGATAACGTTTGTGAATTGGTCATCAGAGATGTAACAGCAGAGGATTCTGCCAGCATAATGGTGAAAGCTGTGAACATAGCTGGTGAAACCTCTAGTCATGCTTTCTTACTAGTACAAGGTAATGTATTAATCTCTTTTCCTGTTTCAAGTACCACCATGGTATTCATGCCGTAATGCTCAAACCATAGAATAACCTTCCTCACTCTTCGATCTCTTTCTATTGTTTTGGCAGCCAAACAGCTTATAAAATTTACCCAGGAGTTACAAGATGTCACTGCTAAGGAGAAAGATTCAATGGCAACCTTTGAATGTGAAACCTCTGAGCCCTTTGTTAAAGTGCAATGGTACAAGGATGGGATCGAGATCTTTTCCGGAGACAAGTACCGAACACATTCTGACAGGAAAGGTCACTTCCTTTCAGTACTAATGATTGACAAGTTTGATGAAGATGATTATAGCTGTGCCCTTGTAGAAGATGAATCTGTAAAAACAACAGCTAAACTAATTGTAGAAGGTGAGGACAGAAATTGTTTTAACACATACTATTTTTCAATATTTCTTTTTCTGCATAGAAATGAAGCATCAACTGTGCTGTTCAATAGGAGCTTCTCAATCTAGGGTTTTCAACCTGTCATTCTGAGCTTCTCTCAATGGTTTATGTAGCCAGTCATTCTACAGCATAATAATTTTGTATTCTGGAATGGTTATTGTGCAGTGGAACCAGTTCATCTTTTTTTTTTGTTGTTGTTGTTGTTAAATTTGTATGCCTCCCAGTCATCTAGATTCAGGAAGGCTTACAATAGCAACATAATTTACAAAAAGCATCCACAGTAAAAAAATGAATCACACCCCCAATAACGTCTTAACACAATGTCATAGAAAGTAAAAAAACCCAGGCCATCGCTGAAGGTCCAGCGTAGCTTCTAGGGAAGACTGTTTCAGACCATTGGTCCATGATCAAAAAGCAGTGCTTTGGCCTCACTCCCCCTCACCTCATGAAATTGGGTCCCCTTGCAGCTTCTCCTGGGAGGTTCTCCTTGGATAGGTCACCTCTATAGGCAGCTCTGCAGATGTAATTGTTCCAGCCTTGAAAGTTCTGCAGCAGCACACGAAATCTAGATATACAACAAAATAATCAGGTGCACATTTTGATACTGTGCCTCAGACCCAGCACAACTGTATGGTAAATAAATTTACATCATGTAACTGGGTCCTCACTAAAAAAATAGCACGCTGTCCATATATCTTATTCTTTTTTTGCATGTGTCCTGAATGGTATGGTAGATGATAAATGGGATGTACAAACAAGCTTCCACTCACATGGTTCCTTTTACAACATGCAAAATATGAGTCGCAAATGGTGTACTGTTTATGTAAGATCTAAAGAAACATGGTATAGCAAAGACTAGCAATAAGCAATTTTGAAAGCAGTCATTTTATTTGTTCATCATTTATGTACCATTTGGAGGAAGATACATCAGGGACTGAAATTTTGCTCTCAAATTATGTGTAAATTAAGATGGGTTTCAGATAAAATAAAATTTGGCTAGAAATTATTTTATTCTGACATCTAGTATACCATCTAAAGTTACCAGCTTTCATGAATAATTTTTAGATGTTGAAAACACTTTAAAGTAGGGCGTATGTTTAATCCTGTTGGGGAATGTTCGTAACTAATAAAGTCACTTACTGAAATGTTTATATTTGGATGCAGGGGCTGTTGTTGAATTTATAAAAGAATTGGAGGATATTGAAGTTCCAGAATCCTTCTCAGGGGAACTAGAATGTGAAATTTCACCTGAAGATGTGGAAGGAAAGTGGTATTGTAATGGTATTGAACTGACACCCAATAATAAATATGTGATAACCTCACGCCGAGGTCGTCAGATCCTCACAATTAAAGATGTTGCTAAAGAAGACCAAGGAGAGTATAGCTTTGTGGCAGAAGGGAAAAAGACTTCCTGCAAACTGAAGATGAAACGTAAGTACTTCCAGAAAGGTGATCCTGCCTTATAAATATTTCACAACCACTGTTCCCTATCATGAATAACTGTGTTGTGTTTTTTATTTCATGTTCCTTAGCACGACCTGTGACTATCCTTCAAGGTCTTTCTGATCAGAAAGTCTGTGAAGGTGACATCGTACAACTTGAAGTGAAGCTCTCCCAGGAAAATGTTGAAGGTGTCTGGATGAAGGATGGCGTTGAAGTTCAACCAAGTGATCGTGTCCACATTGTCATAGACAAGCAGTCACATATGCTTTTGGTTGAAGATGTAACCAAAGAAGATGGTGGAACATATTCCTTTAACATCCCTAGTGTATTTCTTACAACAACTGGCCGCGTTACTGTCTCTAGTAAGTTTGGAAATTTCTTTCGGAGTCTTGCAACCATATCCTACATAGGCAACTTTAAGATGATGCAAAAATGGAGTAATAAGTACTAAGTAAAAGAGATCAGAGGAAATTAGAAAAATGCAAAGGAAATCTAAGTCAAGGTATATTCTCTTGTTGCTGCAGCATGGGATACTTTATTAACTTTTTGAGGGCTATATTCTCATGACATCATTTCCATCTCATCCCCAAGAGCTGTTTCACCCAAAACTTCCCATAAAGGCAGTCTAAGGCACCTTAGGGACAAGATGGGGAAGATCTTGTCAGGGTCATGATCTCTTCAGCTCCAGCTGCCCTGGCAAGTCTGCTATGGATATTCTCTTCCCATCTAGCTGCTGAGCACTGTGCCTCCATGTTGGTTTTGGCTGCAGGAACACTTGGATCTTTTTTTTTCCCCAACTGGAACATTGAATTCCCAGGAGATTGATAGACCTGCCAGCCAGGAATCCTGCTATTTGGTGTTTGTGTATATTGTTTGTGTGTGTATTCACAGATGTGCATGCTGAAGAAATTATAAAGAAAGCGTATGAGATATGGTTGCTTGCCCCCATACACGAACACACAAACAAATGTGGAATGGGGGGGGGGGGGGGGGGGGGG